CTCAGTGGAGTCTGAACTAGAGTCACTCAGAATCTAAACTCTTGAATATCTTAATCAGATTTTGCAACAGAATCTGACTCAGAGGTAAACAAATGATAACCACAAATATAGTTTAGAAGTAAGTAAAGTAAAGTAAGAGACACAAATAGGTATCCTGGTTCCTCTCACAACCTGAGAGTAGTTCAGTCCCCTTGCACTTCCAAGGGATTTCCACTATAACCAAACTGATTACAAATGCTCAAGCACCAATTAAGAGACTTCTAATGCTCAAACCCACAAGTAAGAGACTTCAATTCTCAAGTACATAAGTAAGAGACTTCCAAATATCAAACCCTCAAGTAAGAGACTTCTATGCTTAAGCACATATGCAAGAGACTTCCAATGCTCAAGCACTAATGCAAGAGACTTTCGACTCTATAACAAATTGTTAAGAGATTTGTGTAAAACTATACTTGATATACAATCAGAGGTGTAGACATAATACAACTTAGAAAGACTCTAAGATATAAGAACTTCTAAAATATACAAATTTTAAGATGTTTTAAGTCTAGCTAATTGATAGAGTGACTTCTCTTTTATTGTCAAGATTCGGAGTCTTGTTTAGCAGTGTTGTATTGTATCTTGGTAACCTTCTTATTTAGGTCTATAGCTCCTTTTATAGAGAGGAGAAAAAGAGGCATTGAAGACTTTCACCAAAAGGTTGGGCTAACTATGTACTTGATTAGACACATCAAGAAATCACATTTCTGCAAGAGGAATTATCCATTGAAGCTCAAAAAATAAATAAGAGATTTTTCCTTAAGTGTTCATGTGATTAAAAAGTCTCTGATTCTGCCATTGTTTCCTCGACTAAAGTGAACCTGTTTCAGAGGTTAACTTTCTTCAGACTTCAATCTTTAGAGGCAGATCACTTCGAAGTCATCTTCCTGTCTTCTAAAGCTTCAGAGTATGGATCACCAGAGGCTGACTTTCTCCATAGTTGACTTCTTTAGAGTCTAGATTTTCCATTAGAGACAGAGTCTTTAAAAGTGATCTTTAGAGCCAGAGTCTGATCTTCATATGCAAAAACCTTAAGCTTTTCTTCATATGTTCTTAAACTTATAATCCTGCTTTCTTGAACAGATGTTAGAAAGCCTAATTATTCTTTAAGTACTTTGTTATCATCAAAACCTGAGATATGGTATTAACTAATTTTGTTCCAACACTTTAGACTCCTTTCTATAGAAACCAAGTTGATCAACTTGAGTCAATTGTTTGGAAAGAATTATACATTAAGGTTAGAAGATACAAAGCTTACGATGTATGATGTAAGTTCCAAGATAATATTGAAGGCACCTCTATCAACGAACATAACATTCAATATTATGATTAACATGCTAGACTATTAATTTCTTGCATCGTCAAAAATTGGATTTTGCATCAAAGGTATGTCCATCTAAATTTTAAAAGTCTCAACTTGATGCACATGAAGAAGATGGTGTATGGAATTATCAAGATTGTAATTCCAAATAAGTTTTGTGAAGACTGGTACATTTCTATCTAGGCTAGAAAGTCATTCAAACATGACTTGCCAATGAAGTCACAATAGAAGTCTGAGATTACGCACTCAGATATGTGTGGCCTCTTTTAAGTGAACTCACTAGGAGGTAATTGCTACTTCTTAACCTTAATAGACAAAATTACTAGAAACATGTGGATTTACTTGTTGGATAAGAAAAGTGAAAATGCACACCAATTTCAAAAGGTTCAAGCTACTATTTGAAAAGCAGGTTGAATGTGACACTAAAAGGTTTTACAACTGATGGTGATGATGAGTACACCTCAAGTGAATTTGCTCAGTTTTGTGAGAAATAAAGAATTGAGCATGAAATTATAACACTATACACACCTCAACACAATGGCATTATTAAGAGAAAAAACATAAGTATTTTGAACATGGTAAGAAGCACGCTCAAGGAAAATAAAATACCAAACCATTTATGGGTCAGGTTACTTCCATTGTTGTCTACATCATCAATAGATGTCAAACAATGAAGCTGAATAATAAGGCACCTTATGAAGCTTGGTCAGGCCTGAAACAAGTCTTTGAACACATCATGATTTTTCGGATCATTATGTTATAGACATGTGCCTGAGCAACTTAGAAGGAAGCTTGATGATAAAGGCCAATCCATGATCTTAGTTGGTTTCCATAACATAGGTTCCTACAAGTTGTTCTCACCAAATGAGAACAAGGTGGTGATTATGTGGAATTTGATGAAAGAAAAGGATGGAAATGGTTACAAATTCCAAGTAATCTAATGCAAGAAGGTGAATGTTCAAGGCACATCATAACCATTCTGCAAGATGATGACCAAGAAGTAGAAAGTGAGCCTACAAAACCTCAGGAAGTAAGGAGATCAATAAGATTCAAAACTCAATCAGTTAGATTGAATGATTATGGGGGATTTCTTAATCAATCCATAAGAGAAAATGGTGACCTGATTGAATAGGCCATGATGACTGAATCATAACCAATAGATCATGTTCAAGTCATGAAAGATGAGAATTGGAAAGATGCAATGAATGAAGAGGTCAAAAACACTGAAAAGAAAAAAGAAATCTAAGAACATGTCAAGTATTCAAGTAAGAAATTAATAAATCTTATGTGGGTTTAAAATTTGAATTTGAAGCCAAATGGTGAAGTTTCCAAGTATAAAGCAAGACTGGTTTCAAAAATTTTCCCCAAAATCCTAGAATTATTTTAATGAAGTCTATGCACGAGTGTCTATACTTGAAATTATATGGTTGGTTGTAGAAATTACAACATATAGAGGCCGAGAGATGCACAATTTGATGTAAAGTTAGCATTCCTCAATGGACATATAGAAGAAGAATTTTATGCGAAGTAGCCACCAAGTTTTGAGGTAAATGGGCAAGAAGAAATTGTGTATAGGATGAGAAAATCCTTGTATAGATTGAAGCAAGCACCTAGAGCATGTAACAAGAGGACTAATAGATTTTTGACCAAGGTAGATTTCAATAAATGCCCATTAGAACATGGAATGTATGTGAAAGAATCAAATGGACAAAACAAAGTCATCATATGTCTTTATATCGATGATCTATTGGTCGATTCTAATGAAGATGAGTTGACAAAATACAAGGCAAGCATGGAAAATAAGTTTGAAATGTCATACTTAGGAAATTTGGCATACTTCCTAGGAATGAAAATTGTAAACACAAAACATGGAGTTTTCTTGAATCATGAGAAATATTCAGAAGACATCTCGAAGAAGCTCAAGATAAGCAATTATAACCTTGCAATTACACCTATGGAGACCAACATCAAATTGAAGAAGGAAATAGAAGATGAATTGGTATATAACATATTATACAAACAGATCATTGGCACATCAAGGTATCTTTGTAACACAACCATATATTTGTCATAGTGTGATATTTGTTAGTAGATTTATATAGGAACAAAGGTTATTTCATCTACTTGCAACAAAGATAATTTTGAGGTACAAAAGACCATGGAAAGTTCATGCCACACAACAAAGCACCAGCAAGAAGGACAATGTTTATGAATATACTGACTCAGATTGAAGTGGTGATCAAGATGATAGAATATCACAACTGATTATTTGTTCATGTTTGGACCAAGTTAAAAAAATCAAGGAATTATGACTTTGTCTTTATGTGAGGCAAAGTATGTTGTAGCCTCTTATGTTGCATGCCAAGTATTATGTTTGGAGATTCTACTTGAAGAGTTGAATCTACACAAATTTGTGCAAATCAAATTGCTACTGGACATAGAGAGAATGTAGCATTTTCTAAGGGATTAAACCCGGTCAAAACAAGTTTTCTTCGTCAAATTCAGGGTGGGTTCGGGTGGGTACCCGTGAGCACGATTATTTAAGAGCTGAAATACTTGTTATTCGTCTGTTTTAAAATGATCAAGGGATGGTCGGCATCAAGGGTTGCAATATCAAACCCCTGCCAACCTTTACGTTGGTAAGGTCTTGAGGGAAAACTGTTCTGGACCGACCAGAAAGGGGTCCCACTTCTTCCAGAGTCTTTTCAATGCACGAAGATGGTCAACCTTATGATTACAAGAGATCTCAATTGTAAATGTATCCAACGACTCTTTGCAAATCACGACAAACAAATAACTAATTCATTATTTCCCCTCTATATACAAGGAAGGCGTCAAATTGAGGTAATAGATTTCAAATCCAATTTCATTTCACTTTTCATCCTCATATACTAACTTGAGCGTTGACGTGTTAATCTTACAGGTCTTCTACTCCACCCCATCTAAAAGCCATGATCCACCATCGTTCAAGATTATCGATTTTTCAACTACATCCAAATTTGACATACTTCCTAGAGATATAATTTATTTTTAATTTCGAGAAATATATCTCTCTCAAAATTAAATATGAAGGCATGCATTCTTATATCATTAGTTAAAATTAATCTGATAACTGCATACTTTTTTACATATTAATATATTGTATAAATTTAATACACAAATAAACATATTACTCCATAGCAACACGTTGTAAAAAAACATATTATAATAGTGGAAGGGATAGTTCAATTAAATGAACTAGTTGAACTAAAATTAAAAGAATGAAAGATACATAACTCAATCCTTAATAGTTGTGCAAATATGATATTGACAAATTTATCATTACAAAAATAAAATTAAAATAAACATGCTAGAAACATTTAGAACAAATATTTTCAATAGTCCAAATCTACGGCGTGACACCTTAATATTTCATGAAGAATAAATTAAAGCCGTCTTTACTTCCATACAAAGTTTTTAGTCATTTTTGCCTTTGCTTAAACATTATTTTCATTCCATAGAAAACAAAACATAAGTGAAGTGAAGTGAAAAGAGAAGAAAAAAAAGTTGAAATAATCAAATAAAGAGAATATTCTATTTATTTAACAACCACCACCAACAAGAAACACATTTTGGATATTGTATAAATAAAGTGCAATTGATGGGTCTTTCTTTCAAAATTAACAATAATTTTTCTGCTGCTAAATCTAAGCAAAGGAACCAGGCCACAACAAAAAGCAAAATATCTCAGACAACAACAGAGGTGAAATCGAAGAACAAATCTAGGAGGAAAAAAATGTGGTTTGTTTATGTATGTGAAGAAGAAGAGAAGGAATTGGGAAGACAACAAGCATCAGGTTCTTGTCCTTATTGTAGTGGAAAAGTTGAAGCTATGGATGTTGAGATGCAATGGAGGTTTTGCTTTTTGCCTATGTGTTTTAAGAGTAAGAGAAAATATTTTTGTACTTCCTGTGCTAGACGCTTAGAATTGAAGTATTGATTACTAGGTTGTTTTTGGACATTAATTCAGATTTCATGTTCTTGGTTTTTTCTTTATCTTCATCTTCTTCTTTTTTATTTTTTTTTCTTTCTCTCTATTGTTTGATTCTGTTTCTTCGGTTACCTTGTGAATCTTGATGGAGTGTTTCAATTTGATATGTTTCTGTGTTGATATATGTAAGAAATTTAAGGTGTTTTTGGTTCATCAATGGCAACGCTGTTTTTTTTTCAACGAGTAGAATTGCTTGGTTCAAGTAATGGGAATGATTTTAACTGACACAAGATGAGAGGGTTGGAAGACATTCACTGCATCTTAAATTGAGAAATTGTTTGAAAGAATAAAAATCTGATGGAATTTTTTAATTTTTAATACGATTTTAATTTTTTAAAATAAAAAATATACCCTTTAGTTATAATTACTACCTTATGAAGGAGTATAAAATGTGAACACTATAATGTCCTTCGGTTTGGTTGGATATGTCTAATTATTTCATGTCATTTTCTTTATTTTAATTTATTAATAAATAATTTTAAATATTGATATAACCAAACTTTAAGAATTTACCTTATAAAAAATCTTATCTAGTTTAAATTCTTTCTACATTTTAGTTGTTTCAATCCTTGGCTCATAAACATTTTCATGACTAAATTCTAACTCAAAATCTATAGTTAAGTTGGTAGAGATTTTTATCTTCCGAATGAATATAGATAGAATTTGGGTAGGTAGAGATTTTTATCTTCCGAATGAATATAGATAGAATATGGGTAGGATATTATAGTATTTTTTCCGTGCCGCTTACAAAGTTTAAAACAAAAGGTTCATGACCAAAATGAATAAATGTTTGCGATAAATGCATGTTCGTTTATTCGCAGACAATTTCGTCTCTGAGGCATTGTCAATCATCCAAATCAATTAGACCGTTGTTTGCGATTTATGTCGCACTCTTCGCTTTCAGCTTAAGTTGTTCTCATTATATAAAAGGAAAAATGTGTCATTCTTAAGTATTCAAATTCATTCTAACACTCACAACACTTCCTATTCTCTCATTGGTTTGGGCATTGAAATGTTAACTTGCATATCAGTCCCCTTTCCACCGTACCAAAAGTTCATGTCCACCATACTAAAACACTACTTTATCGTTCACCGAACATCTCTGGTTCCATCATGGAACAATGGTAGTGTCTATGGGAAGAGAAAAAAGAATATACAACGACAGTGTAATATATTTTTACAATGTCAACCAATGACAAATGTGTATCCCGCCACATCACACTTGTATTTTTGAAATACTTTTATGATTTGCCACTTTAAAATAATCTGATTGGATGTCTGTGCGATATTTATTTACACTGACAGTGCACTACCTTTAAACTCCTATGGAAATCAAATTTTGATTCCCCCATATTTCCACATCCAAATCTCCTCCGATTCAGAGATCTAGATCTTCTTTCCTGGAAATTTCAAATCTCCATTTCTTGATCTTCTTATGTGAAATCTCAACTCCCTCTTTCAACAGATCCTTCCTCAGATTCACCAACCAAGTGGTGTCCAAAGCCAATTGAAATGCCATCCAACTACAAGTCGTCGTTGAAGATGTTAAAGTTCCACCTCATCTTCCTCAAGAATACGACGATGCAGTCCTCGTGGCGTTACCTTCAAATCCTTCACAACAAGATTCTGCTCCATAGAGATTCAGTTAAGGAGCACTTCAAGGTTTTCGGTTATTCAGATCTATGCAACATTTCCACCAACGAAAACCATTGCACCGACCTTCATTACTACATGTGATATCTGGATAGGAAATTCTATGTGGCATTCAGTTGTTACAAGCAAACCTTGGCATACAAGGAGCTACAGATATGGTGAACAGTGTTTATAATATGGTGCAACAGCTGGATTAAAAAATCTTGGCATATAGTCTCTACAAGAATGAAGAGAGTTTGCAACACGTCACACTAAGAAACATTATTGTGTAAGAGGCAACCTCTTGAGGAAATCAAGTCGCAATTCGTAAACCAACCTCAACTAGAGTTGCAGCTTCGCGAGGAGAGACCCTAAGGTCCTCAAATGTAACAAAATAGTGGGTTTTGGAAATTGTTTGTTAGGTCCGTAAACAAGAGAAAATTAACTTCAAAAAAGATACGATGATTAAGGCGATTAGGTTTTTTAGTTAGAATCCCATACTTCTACTCAATTGATGAAATATACATTAAAAGACATGCAGAGACATAAGAGTTGCATGACATGTTAAGCCTATCACTACACCCAATTCCTTGGTGTGCAAATCACTAATATAAGCATTAACTACCTGATCCCTCATGCCAATTGAAACATCAGACTAGGCATTAAAGCGCGTTAATCCCTAAGTCAAAATTTCTAATTAGAATAACCCTAGTTAATTAGAGAACCAAGCAATTACCCTGTTTTCAATAAGCAGCCTTACAGTCAATATGTCACTACTTAACTAGAGCAAACTGTGTGATGTAACATATAATAGGCAATGAACACAAGTGATAATTGAATAATAACAATATTTCAAAGCAATAACATTAACATCATCCACTCACATGTCCTAATAGAATAAAAATAGGTTCATCATACAAAAAGGCCTAACCTAGGAAAAATTAAGCTACTCGTAGTATAAAATAAATATATCACGAGTTTAAATTCAGAGTACATGAAAAATTACTAAAGAAAAATTTTCCAATGGCCTCCAAAAGCATCAAATATTGTCCTTGTCATCACTATTAGTCTTGGAATTAGAAACCCTTACAAAAGTAGCATATTTTTCTACTTAAACAGCAAAAAACATGCCTGACACACATCTCATCGTAAACATTATATAAAGTATCATGACCGTTAAACAACACAGATAAACTATTATGGCATATACACACATCAATCCACCTTATCTACTTTTCACCAAAGCCATACCTTCCTAGTAAATATTTCAAGAACACCCAATTAACATTATGATATGCTTTTTTTAAAATATACCTTAAGAATAAGACATTCTTTCTTCTCTATTCTAGCTAAGTCAATAATTTCATTCAAGACCATTACTCCATCAAGAATCTGTCTACCAAGTACACAAGATGTTTGATCCTTAGAAACAAGATTACCATCACCTTTTTAATCCTATTAGCCAATAAATTTGAAAGCACTTTGTAAATATTCCCCTCCAAAATAATGTACCTGAAATCACCTAGCTTATGGGGATTATCTATCTCTGGAACTTGGGACAGGAAATAGGCAAAAATCGCTTTTGGAAGGCTTGCTTTAGCATGGAATTCACAAATGAAGTTGAATACATATTAAACTACTACCGCTGTCCCAAATTATAAGTCACTTTGCAAAACATATTTGTCCCAAATTATAAGTCACTTTAGAATATCAATACAATGTTAATGACTTTTTTCCTAATATAATCTTTATCATTTATTTCTCTTTCTTCTTATTCCTTTAATCCGCTTTCTAATATAATTAATGAAGGGCAGTTTTGTAAAGTCATTGATCATTTTAATTTTTCATAAAGTAATAATTAAATTTCTTAGACTGTGTGAAATGCCCAAAACATCTTATAATTTGGGACAGAGGGAGTATAAAACTCCAACATCTCTAGAGAAACATAAAATTTACTCCATCAAGACACATGCATTTTCCCCATTACACTCCTAAACTACGCCTTTAATTTCATCAATTAAGAACTCATCTTCAAGCTGGAACCCATCCTCCACAGATAATATGTTAAAAAAAATTCTCCCGTAAAAGGCCTGACCAAATTTGATTCCTTGTATCTCTCCTCAAAATATCTCTTAACTTCACATTTTACCCCTTCCACGCTCTCCACTCTCCCACTTCTAGTATTCACTCAAACTATATTATTTCTCTTCATTCTCTCCAATTTGTTGGTGACACCATTATTATGAGGGATGGGTCTTGGAAGAATCTCTGGTGTATCAAGTCTCTTCTAAGGGGTTCTGAATTGTGTTTAGGATTGAGCATTAATTATTTTAAAAGTAAATTGATAGGGTTGAATATAGATTACTCTCTTATCCAGTCTTCCTCTACCTTTTTAGCTTGTGGAAATAATTTAATTCCTTTCAACATTTTAGGGATTCTCGTGGGCTCTAATCAGTAAGTCAAACCTACTTGGAGATTAATAGTTAATAATGTGAAGATAAGGTTTTCTATTTGGAAAGGTAGGTTCTAGTCTATTGGAAGAAGAATGGCCTTGATCAACTCAATTTTGAATTCCATGCCCATTTACCTTCATCCTTCTATAAATCACCAAAAGTAGTGTTGAGTGAAATTATTATAATTCATAAAGACTTTCTTTGGTGTGGAGGAATTGAGAAGAAAGGTATATCTTGGGTCATCTGGGGGGAGGTTTGTAAATCAAAAGAAGAAGGTGGCTTAGTGATTTTAGTTCTTTGTGTAACCAGGATAGTCCATCAAAAGATTGGTTCCTTTCTGGTATTTGTTGTAAGGTAGGAGTAAGGGATAAGATCCTTTTCTAGAATAGTAAGTGGTTGGGCCCAACAACATTGAGGGAAAGCTTTTCCTACTCTATTTGAGTTTTCTTCAAATCCAAACGTTCTAGTCAATGTGATGGGTTATTATGAAACTGGTAAATAGATATGGAGTCTCCAGTTAGGTTATGTATAGGCTTAATCAAAAGTACAGATCCAACTTGATGAGTTGATAAGAGTATCTTGCTTAAGATTGAGCTAAGAGAGGAGGTGGGAGATATATTTGTTTGGTTCCCTGAAACAAATGGAACTTACACTGTCATAAGTGATTACATCTTAAAGATGCAGAGGGAGAAATTGAACTGATGAACTTAGACTTGAGGAAGACTCTAAAGTTGTTGTGGAAAATTAATGTTTCATTAAAAATTTAAACATTTGGGTGACGATGTCTCAAAAATAGATTTCCATCTAGAGATCAACTAGTTAAGTGAGACGTTTTATGTAATACTCTACTCTACCCAATTGCGT